ACTGCACAGACAGATGCTCCATCTTTCAAGGAGTGTTGTTGAATTCTAGTCTCCTATTTTGGAAATCATGGGACCTACACAACAACAGGCTGAAGTCATATTTTGCATTTCACTCTCTGAAGCCAGGGCTTTATAAGCCATTTGTCAGCAAAAAGCCCATAAATCAATGGTAAAAAAAGTGACTTAGCAGCAACCAAGCTGCATAACTGAAGATGGGACACAACCATCTAACACCAGCATTTCTCTGCAAAGCTCCACAAACACAACTCACATAAAGGAAAGGATTTGCCTGCAAGTGTACTCCTCCACCACTTTTCAGGTTGACAGGCTTAACAGTGTTTGAGAAGAGAGACATTTGGAGGTCCCTACCTATCCCATGGTTTGACACTCCAATCCTGCAAAATAAATCTGAATTTACCTCAATTCCTTGGAGAGTATCACTGAAGTTAATAGACTCTAAACACAAAGTAGAAATCATTTGAAAGATTGGTGGCCTGCAGGGGATGGAAAATAAGCTGCCTTGAAGGAACCTACAATTGTAGGAATCCTAAATCTCCCAGAAGAGATCTGCTTAGATGATACTGGTAAAATTTTCCATACTATTTAATGTATAGATTTTGCCTTTTAAGATTCTGTCTTTTAATCTGCACCCACTGAACAAAGTCATTCCTGTTGTGAAGGACCATCCATTACAGAGTGACACAGCCTGCACACCATGACAGCCAGGTACCAAACTGGGTGTGTAAACAAACTAAAGGTGTGACCCTGGGGGGAAGGGATAAGTCATTATAACAGTCCAATCACACTCTATACTTTCTATAAATATTTACCTTAGCAACAACTGGATGAGGGTGAACCAACTATCAGAATGCAAAGCAGAGCTCCTGTACTATGAAGTTTCCAGTGTGTATGTTGTAGGAGCTCTTTGGTGCAGTGGAAAGCGAGGCCGAGCGTTTAAGCAACATCCTCATAATAAGCTCAGTTGAAACACTTACTTAAGGCTTCAGTCTTTCATTTCAAAACCCTCCAGCTGTCACAACTGTCACATCAGCAGTGGGCTAATATTTATTATGTTCTCGGTAATAAATCAGACCCTGAAAGAGAATTCTTGAATTTGCTATTCATTATCTTTTATCCAGAGGGAAGGAATTAGGTAAGGAATTAGCTTCTAATGTGAGCCTTTTTATTAGCAACTCAGATGTAACACAGTGAAAAGCTAGCTGCAAAAAGGATAAGTGTTCACCCAAACTCTGTGTTCCGAAGTATCTGATCTGCCATTGCTTAGAATCTCTGGAGTAAATAAAATCTTACATCTTAGTTTTTGAAATTGACTGTTCTCTCTCTTTGTAGGTACTCATGCACATGAATAATAATTAGGCCTCAGTTCCACTAGAATATGTCTCAGTTCCACATCCTACACACACATATACCTAGGGTTGCCTTTTGCAGCAAAGAGAGATAATACATATTTCTTTTTGCTAACCCTTGTAGCTTAGAAGAACCAGAAGTTTATTAAAGTTCGCATTTGCAGAGTTTACTCATTCAAAGGCCTCTCCCAAGCAAAAAGATTCAAAGACATGCAGATTTACAAATCGTTGTCCTTTCACTATGTAATTAGGCAGTGGAAACTGAGGTCACTGAGCAGCATAAGAAATGGTCAGTATACAGTTCTAAAATGATATGATAGCTCTGCTTCTTTGCTCTCATCATGTTCTAACAAGTTTTACAGAGCACAACTAAATCTACTTCTATGCTGATCCATTTACTATTCTATTTTTAATACTTAAGGATTACTGCTCTAGTCACAGCTCCTGTTCATTACAGATTTAAATAGATCAAAAATTAAAACAAAGTGTGCAACATTCCACCGGCATGTGCCCCCACTGCAGAGTGAGATACATCACTTGAAAAATTAAATAAAGCTTAAGACAAGGTGGACATGACTTTAGAAATAAGGCTGCTTTCATTACTTCTTTAAATACCAAGCAAAGTTTTCAGTTAAATACAGTAGGCTCATAAGTAAGAATAAAACAAGGAGAAAGGTGATGCCTCTCTTCCTTCTGACCCAGACACTGGCTTGATGCTGCAATTTTACTCAGAAAGGCATTGAACATACCCATGGTTTCAGTCATGTCTGAAACATAGCAAGATATTTGTTATTTCAGCTGCTACCAGCATGCAGAGATGCAGAGATTAGTAGCTAGCTTTTGCTTTTCATTTTAACTAAATCTATATTTCAAGAGCCCCTTCTGCTTTAAGAGGGAAGCCAAGTTAGTTGCTGAGCTCCCCAGTGAACTCACTCCACTGTGCAAGAAAGCAAAGTCATTATCCATCTTAACGAGCTATCAGATACCTACTGACACCTGAGACAGCCTACTACAAGCAGCTTGTAAGAAGTCATTTTGCACACCTTCATAACCTGATGCTTATTTCTGAGCCAGAAAGGATAAAAAAATTTTTGCTGAACCAGCTTTAGTCATGTCAATGTGAGAATACACCAAAGATAATGTGACGTGTGCTTGCTGACGCTGACAGCGACCAATAAACTGCTGATCAATTTTTATAATCCTTAAAATCACTGTGGATTACTAATGCTTTTCTTTTTCTAAAGCTACAAGTGACCTACGGAATGCCAGACACTCAAGTTTTCTAAAAATACCTCCAATGTAAGCTGGACAGCAGAGATTATATTACAGGGTTTCTTTCAAGGTCACTTGCAAGATCTATGCTCACCACGGCTTTCATATCTGCATTTCAGCTTTGTCGCTGGCAGCATTGGCAGTGTGTTTTGCAAAAAATCAACAGCATCCATGCATGCCCATCAGCTCCAAATAATAATAAATTACATTCTCAGAAAAATGTATCATATTCTCACCTCGGATCAGCATTCTGAAGCAAAGGGAAACAGTCGTTGCAACCGAAATTACTTTGTTCATGGGGAGTTTTGTCAAATAAAATGCATTCCACCTCTCCTCTTAGGCTTTCTATCTAAATCCTAGTGCTTCCATTTTATGAAAAGATTCAAAAAAACGGTATATAATAGATGCAGTCTCTTTTCTGATGGAAGATGAGGAAAATCAATAAATGCACGTCTTGAAGGAGACCCAAGAATGCAGCAACAAGCAAAATACAAACCTCCACCTTCCTAAGAAATCACCTTTACTATTTTAGATAATACAATCTTGTACAGCACTTACCAAAGGTTACAGCTACAATGCAGATTTACTTTACCCATCTGTTGAAGAAATCTGAAGACTTACTGCTGTAGACTTGACTCAGTTTCTTCTCATCGAGGCTCCTCCAGTCACTATGATCTACATCCCTCTGCATCCTTACAGAGCAGATGTTAGCTGTAACCGATTATATTTGCATCTTTATCTTATGAAGGAAGCGTGCAAAGAATTTAAACTAAAACAGAGATTTGTCTTAATTCTTTACATCATCGCAGCATTTGACCAGCCACATCTCGTTCTGTTGTAAAAGTAACTGTACCCATTCTGACATACCCCATTTTCTAAAATGCAATTATGTGTATTAATCCAATATATAAGGTATTAGCCTACACTTAAATCTCTTTTTAAACTTAATATACCCAAATCTGAAGGGGACATAAGAAATAGCTTATAAAGCCCACACCTCCCTCCTCCATGAAAATAGAGAGTATTCAAAATAAAGTTATTCCAAAGGGATAAAAATGTATGTCCACTCATTCCCTTCAGCTTTGTATGAAAGACTGCTGTGAATATTTTCATTAAACAGCCAAGAGCATATAATGATCACAATACCGCAGATAAAAGTACAAGACTTCTACTTCAAGAGATCTGGTGACAAAAGAGTAAACCATACCACTGACATCAGAAGTAAATTTAATTTCTAATTACTAATAACATTTGTAACACAGCTGAAAGCAAGGTCATGGAATTTCAAATAACTACGGACAACTCAATCAACAGCATGCCAGACACCATGCACGTGTATTTTCCCAAAATTTTAATGAAAGAAGACATCTTTTGAAAAATCTAGAATGAAAAGGAGGCTCAGAGGAGACCCTATTGCTCTCTACAACTACCTGAAAGGAGGTTGTAGCCAGGTGGGAGACGGTCTCTTCTCCCTAAGTAACAAGTGACAGGATAAGAAGAAATGGCTTCAAGTTGTGCCAGGGGAGGTTTAGATTGGATATGAAGAAAAATTTCTTCACCAAAAGGGTTGTCAAGCATTGAAACAGGCTGCCCAGGGAAGTGGTGGGATCACCAACCCTGGAAATATTTAAAAGATATATGGATGTGACACTTGGGGACATGGTTTAGTGGTGGACTTCGCAGTACTGGGTTAATGGTTAGACTCGATTACTTTAAGGGTCTTTTCCAACCCAAACAATTCTATGATTATGTGATTGCAGTCTAAGGATGTAACATTGCAATAGTCCTGAAACAGTAAATCTATCATATCTCCACTGTATCAATAAATTTGTTGTATTATATACAACTGCACATATACTGAATACAGGATGCCCAAAGTATCAGAAAGCTTCCAGACACACTGCAGTACTTTCTCTGAATTCTGTGAATCACTTGTGTTATGGCATGCGTTAAGTAATGTTGAGTGCAGCTTTATGAAAAGCTTGCCACCTCTTCTGATTACAATACCTTCTTTTTCTGAAAGAAGATTAGGTCTTGAAAAAGCAAAGGAAAATGTTAGATTTCCTTTACCATATTGATTTATTACCAGGCTTAGATTCTATACTTCGCAAAGACTGAGCTACCATCTCCAATTTCATAGTGGAAAACATCTCTCATTCTAGCTGGTGGCATCTACTTTTTATTTTACATGAAACTGGACTACTCAAAACAGCTCATCCACTGTGCCATAAAATTTCATAATAAATTTCACTATCTATAAAATGTTATTAGTCATGCAGCAGTCTGTAATAAAAACTCATAAATCCCCAAAAGCTGCACCCTGCTGATTTACATTGTACTTAGAGGAAAAAAAGAGCCCAATACACAACTTCATGCTTTATTGTTGCATTATTGCCACATTGACAATTACAGAAAATTTATTTTGCAGTCATTTCAAGATAACATCTGAACATCTCCTGTGTTTATATGTCATTGTAACATATTTTAAAAGCATCAATAATCATCAGTAGGAAATCCAGTTCACCAGTTATGATTCTTTATTTCGAGCAAGGTAATGCTTTGGTAAGGACACTGATGTATAAACATGGAAACCTCCCAACAATATATAAAAGGCTTTCATACAGAGACATTTTCTAACCATACAGGAATTCCTGCACTCTAAAAGCTACTAAAGCTATCTTAAGAGCCATACTCCACTGTACAAACTTACTTATCTATCTAAGTAATCAAAGACAAAATTCATGTATTGTCTATGTATACTGTATATATTGCATTAACAACCAGGAGCAGTAGTTTGTAATTCAAACACATCCATGTTCCTAACTTTTAGTATTGCAACGGAAATGTGTTGTTGCTTTTAGAAGCAATTCTACCACTCATTACAAGACGTGGAGTAGAGGTACCCAGTGCCACCTAATCCTGTGCTTCTACACCTGGGTTTAGTTTTCCACTGCAGTCAGTGGAGCCAAGAGTGATCCAGCTCAACTTAAAAGACACTTCCCTTTGGTCAACAATGCCATACCTAAACTCTACTGACTGTTTGATTGCATCACCACTGACTATAGCTGAGGTCTAGACACTACTGCAGATGTAGGCACAACACGAAGGAGAGCTGAACCCCATCCAGCTCCCTCCCAAGGCAGCAGGTACCGGCATCAAATGATTGTGATGATCAGCTTCACTGCTGATGCAGGTCACTGACAGCTCCTGGCTGCACCATCAACCACTTCCTGTCCTGAATCTGCAAATATTCCTGCCAGCAAATTATCTCGTGCAGATATTCCACGAGGCTTAACAAATGCTACCCTTATGAATGAGTTACTCATGTGTGAATCACTTGTACATTCATAAGCAGCTACAACCAAGGCCTCTGCTGCACCAACATCAGAAACAGAAAGCATATTTTAAAAATTATGCATATTTTAATACAGAATTATTCTTATAAACTACATTCGTTCCTTAAGGCAAGTATGGTTATCTAATTAAACTGAAATTCAGGACTGCATATACAGATTGTACATCCTTCCTCGGGTGTAGAATAAATATATCCACACAGAGGATTTGCAAAACATCATTTCCATTTCAAGCTTATGAAGAGATGGAAATGTCAGGTCCCTCTCACCCACATAAGTGAGTTATTCCACTTGTGAAATGGGCCATATTTCCCATTATTTCACTGCTGTTGTTTTAAATCAGCTTCTCAGGAAATAATGATTTAATCTGCAGAAATTCTTAAAAATAATGTTTTTTTAAAACTCTCCTCATTGCTTTTATACACTATTTGATTTTAAACATAAATGAATTAGTAAAGCCCAAAGTGATCCCAAACTTTCATTGATTTGCCAGGTGAATGGTTGCAGTGCTAGCTCCCATGTTTTTAACATCATTAGAAATTTTATAAACCCGAAAGGTACCAAAGGCTGTATGGTATTTGTAGTCAACTAAAAACAGAAGGACACTTTAAAAACATAGGCAGGATGTAAAAAAATAATTTTCCTGTTTTTTACAGAGATGAGTTACAGAAGGAAAATGATAGACCTAAGTGATTTTGAGCTGAGCAATCAAAAGATTTAATTATGTGGCCAAAACTAAAACAATTGCTCTATTTGAAAAATAGCTTTTTTTTAATCCCTCATATCACAACTGTCCTTCACAATAAGACAATTAGGAAAAAATATGATGTGCAACAGAGGTTGTGTCATAAACATATTTGCTAATGCCACCTCTTAATTTCATATGGTGATATCAAATTCTAACTTAAAAAGTAAACAGATATTTCACCAATTTACTTTAATTTCAATTCCAGAGGGTCCTGAGCTCCTTCAACTTGTTATTGGGATTGAGAAATCATCACCTCAAAAATACAGCCCCTTAGTGAAACCCATGAGATCAGAGATTGGTTGCCTACAGCAGCAGCGTTCTTGTAACTCTGGTTTCTCTCTCCTCTTCATACCCACAGACCTCCAAAGGGAAAAACCTCAGCCAGACTGTGCAAAGGGGTGTAAAGAAGATTCAGCTGGATCTCTGCCCACCTGAGAAGGTTTTGGGGACCTTTTATCATCTTCCTAGTTGAATTCAGAGGGCACAGTCACTGGAGTGTAACACTGTAGGATACTGAACACTACAACAGTTCTACATAATCCAGACAACCATCGATTTCTGTCTCAACACACACAACAAATGGTACAGGTACCAGGACCAAAGGGCCATTCTTCCCTACTGGCTTAGAATAAAAACTACATTAACTATCTGCTATTGCGATGCCACAACTAAAAGTAAAAGTTATAAGCTCATTAATCATATTATTCATACTAAAGTTTTTATCTTGGCAATAAGAAAATATTATTAAAAAGCACCCCTGATCAGCAAATATTTAATAGAGAATTTTCCATCTGGGATAACAACTGAACAATGTCTTCATTCTTATTAACCCTTGACAATTAAAGAAAAAGAAACAGCATGTTATTTTAGAGGTCAATTTTACTGATCTGACAGTGTGAATCCTATAGGGGTTTTGTCTTCTCTTGAAAACTTATTCACTGACAGCAGTTTGGCTGAGATCTTGATGGACAGATCATTTGCGGGGCTGATGGATGTGCTGTTTGACATGCTGTGGGTGAGGAAGCTTTTCCACAGAAGGATGTGGTTTCTGATGAGCCACCTGAGCTGCAGCTGGAGGGAAGTCCTTATCACCCTGTTCAAAGAACAACCAGGAAAAATTTAAGAAATCCTAGAAGTGTGCTTTTCAGTTCAAATGGATCTAAGATTTTAAAAATGTGAAAAGCAGATGGAAAACAGTGCTGCATGTTACTCTGAAGTCCCCTGTACACATCCTACTACTCCAATCTTTTAGTCAATTTCAAAATTTGTCTTTCACAAGTCTCACTTGTTCCAGTTACACACACCACCATCCAAGAATATAGTATCTTGATGTGACCTTAGGGAAAAAAACCCCAAGCACTCCTCTCTTCAGACCTGTTTGGTTTTCACAAAACCACTAAAAAGAGGAGACTACTTTAAAAATAAGTTAAGGCAGCATGAAAAACTACCTGCACAAGAAAACCTACTATAGGAATCACAGAATCATAGAATGGCCTGGGTTGGAAGGGACTTTAAAGATCATCTAGTTCCAACCCCCTTGCCACGGGCAGGGACATCTTCCACTAGACTAGGTTGCTCCAATCTGGTCTCGAACATTTACAGAAATGGGGCATCCACATGATCATATGATTGATGGTTACTTAATATTTATTTATTTATTTATTTAGCTTATGGATTTCCAGGTCTAGCCTCGTGTTAAAATCTAGGGAATAACACCTTGAATCCCCAAGTACCTCAAGACACAAAGGGCAGCTGAAACACATCTTCAAACATGTATTCTTACAGACAGCAGTGTTGCTCCTCATCACAGATCAAGCTATAGCAGCACATTTAACATGCAACTGCTTCCAAAGGAAATGAATGCAGTAATAACTAGCTTAGATATAAAAAGATGATCCAATAAACTTAAAGTGCTAAAATTCAAAGTAAAATGGTGGAAGTAATTTCAATAAATAATTTCAATTTCACACAAACCCAGAAAGAATGCTTAAAGGGCCTTAAACGAATATAAAAAACATAAAGCCTCTTCACACAGAAGAGGAAGGGGTATGAAAAAGATCAATTTTGCTCCGACCGGTGATAATTCTGAAAAGCCTACAGTAGTTTTTCTATGACTGAGAGAAATGTAATGATAATCTTACCCTAGCAATGACACCAGAGATGAACACCGCTGGTTTAGGTGGGCTGAAAAAAATAAGAGGGATTATTTTTACCAGTTATTTAGAACATAAAAATTAAAAGTACATCACACATGTAATGAGAAAAAAAGTGGCATTTCTGGCAACTAAGGAACGTTTCAAATAGACAAGACAAATTGCCTCTTCAAATGACTACTGCCTTACTAGTACTTATTCCAATCAAAAACAAACCTGTAGATTTTGGCTGCTATTACTTCACATTGATTGTGACAGCAGTAAATGGCTAGTCCAACAACAGTTTCTTACTTAAAGCTGAGAGTCTTTGTTTGCATTGGTTTCTTAATGCTCAAATTTTTTATATACGCTGCCAGCAGTACTTTAGGCTTAGCGTATTTGCATTGCACAATGGAAACTGTAGCTGGATTAAACTCACTGCTGTGTTAGAGAATGAAATAAATTTCAAGTTTACATCTGTCAATCAAATGAATTAGGAACCTGAGTCTCAGAAAAAACAACACTCAGTACTTCAAATCACAGATTTTCAAGCAGATAGTTATCTACTCTGTTACAAGAAGAAGAATCGTGTCTGCAATAAAACAAATATTAAAAAACATACAGCAAAGTGTATCCTGCTTTTTCATTTGCAGACCCTTCATTCATGCCAACAGGAACAGACTTTTCATAGGCAGAACTTGACTCTGAAGCTTGGTCAGCATGAGGGATTGGTTTCCCTGGGTCACTGATCTACTGAGGTGCCCACCTCTACCTGGAGGCCACAGCACAGCCACCAGCTGTTCACCCCGGTGGCATTGCCAGCATGTGAATTATAGATACTCTGCAACTTAGTGGTCTCCAGGACAAGTAAAACCATACATCTGCACAGTCTACAGAAGGAGTGAGACCTGGAGCTCCAGAAAATCTCCACAATACAGGTAATTCTTCTTTAAGAAAACCATGTAACCTGAGGCATTGCAAAGGGAAGGAGAGTGAGGAGGTAAAGGCGTCCCTCCCTCTGAGCATGTCTGTCACTGAGGACTCACAGCAGGTGGTTCATTAACCTGGACCATGAGAAGGGTTTCTACCCTGTGATGTTATGTCTCACAAGGTTGGAACGACACAAAGCAAACACAAAGCAAATGATTTATCAGAGGAATGATAGTGATTATTATGATGGACTTTACAAGTACACAGCTTGTAAAAATTTATTAATGTGAAGTTAAGATAACAAGCAGCACAGTATTACACCTTGATATAATGAACTCATAAATATTGCCTGAGCCTCGTTTAAGTCATGGTATTGCTACACAGTCTCTGAGCACTCTGGTGCTAGAATCCCTTCTAGAAATTTTTAAAAAGTCAGAAAGACAGGATTAGGGAAAAAAAAAAAGGGAGTTCTGCTCTAAAATACTTCCATTAAAGAGCAACACTGATATTTCCTGCAATAAGAAATAATATTTTGATAGCTGTATTAGACTTTTTCAATCTAATTTTCTGTCAGTACAAATTAATAACAAGCAAAGACAGCAAACACCTTCATTTCATCCTAATTGTACTGAGCCAATTAGTATGTTACAGTCTGCATGAGACTTCCTGGATGCTGAGTAACAAACTCAAAGAACTCACTGAGAAAACACAGATGTACATACTGCAGTGGCTCAAGGTACGGTTCACAAACTAACACCATGACATTATAAAGAAAATGCACAATAAATGGGGAAAAAAAACCGTGGCAAGTTATTCTTCAACTATACATGGAATCTGGCTTTAGTCACACTCAGAGACACAGTTTTTTGCTTGACATTGCATTATTAACAATATTGGATAGTGAGAAAGTCAAGTCAGATGGATTTTTTTCTTATATTCTTACCATGACCTTTCAGTGTTCATTATGCTTGGATGATGCATGAAATTCAAATCAACATTTCCCCAAAAGAGCCTGTATTTGCTGAATGCACCATGATTTGTTTGCTGACTACCACACTGTATTATCTGCTGTGTGTTTCATACTTCTTGCTTTAAAAACAAGTGCAATGCTCCATGGCTCTGGCCAACAGTGACAATCAGAAGTAATCTCTTGCATAATGGTTATTACAAACAGAGCTTTTACCACTGCAAATTGCAAAAATACTCTCAGAAACCCTGGTCTCCTGTTGAAATGTCATGCATTCAAAGGACCCAAGCTTGCCAGCGTTCCCTGAGTACATAATAAGAGATGGACAGAGTTAGAATATTTGGTACATTTCTGTACTTATTTTAACTTACTTGTATGTTCTTTTGTCTCAAGAACTAGGCTGAAGATCCTACAAAGATCATTTTCAGTTAATCTAAAAGCCAGTTTGATTATGTTTCAGATAGTATTACAGAAGCAGCTATGTACATCTTTATATAAAGAAGACAAAAATCAGCAATACTATTTTCCTGGTAAAGACTATATTCTTCAGATATAAAGCACTTATCTTAAACTCTATCATGAAATAACATATTTAGCCTTGCTTGTATGCAATTGGTTCTGTGACCATCTTTACTTACACTGCCCTACAAACAGGTTACTGATTAGGGCTATCCCAGGGGTGTGTGGTAGGCACCAAAACACCTCACGCTGACTCACCTAGGGTTTGTGTGGGACATTTTAGGATAGTGCTGATATACAGTGAACAAATTAATACAAAATCAGAGTTGCAAAAACGTATCTCCTCCCAGATGCAGATGGAACAGATTTCTCCTTGACTTTCCCCCTATTTTGTCCTCCTCATGGATTTTTGACTGTACTCTTCTTGCTTTATGCTAGATTTACAGCTTTTAAAAGGAAGAACTAATGGGAAGGCTGTCCTGACTTCCAGCTCAAGTGCCTCTACCCTCCATCTACAAAGATGGATTTCTACAAAAATCCTGGCACTTGTTTCTGGCTGACTTGAGTTTCCACAATCGGCTGTGGGTGCATACTGTAATGATACTTCTTCACCTCTGTACTTAAGTCATTACACATGCAAAATGCTTCACTCCTATGGAAGACACAGCAGTCTAATAGGAAGCTCATTTCCATGCATTAATTATTCTCTAGCAGGGAAAAAGACAGAAAGCTGGCCAAAAATGCGAATGATTGAGTGTGTCAGTATTTATGTTCTATGTCAAAGTCACTGCCTTTCCTCCCATTTTTACCAGATTACATTGTTCCATAAAAAAAATCTTTAAAAATTTAATATTATTCATTATCTTTGATGATCTATAGAACCAGAATCAGGCCAGAGCATATATAATTGCACATCTATACTAATGAAGAATTCAACGGATCAGAGAAAGGCCTGGATAATCAGTCACTGATTCATGCTTTAATTTCATTCTTAATGAGAGAAATCTTTCCACAGATGAACTTCGTCACAATAAATTCAATCTCTACTGCCAGACTCCCAAACCATTGGCTTTTGTGGACCCAGATAAGCTGCCAGGACAATAACTCCACAGTTGCACTCTGGGACATCTACTGGGACTGCAGTTTTGCAACATCACTTGTTATCTTCCCAAGAACCTCCTGAAAATAGAAGCAAATATGGAGAACAGGCACAGCCTATCATTGCTACAATTTACACACCAAAGTGTAAAACACCTTCAGGTGCTTTAAATTCTACTGGTGTTTTATGCAAAGCACAACCTACATTTCCAGTATTTTGTAAGCTGTGATGGTTGCTCTGAGGATATACTTAATCTGATGAAAATTAGTTTGACAGATGTTGCTTTGAAGATGCAGCATTCCTTTGTCTAGGCATCAGTAAACAAGAAAGCAAAAAAACCGTTATTACTTTCTGACAAAAACTGATTTTGTTTATACATATATATGCTTTACAGCTACTTAATGCACACATTTATTTAAAGTTAATTAATAGCCACAGCTGATACTGTGTAAGGAACAAAACAGCATGTTTGCCAAGACTGGTTAGTGTTTGTGTCAATACTTTCAGAGCAAATCCTTATTTTATTGTAACATATGGAGAAAAAGAACACATCTGTTAAGATCTGAGTATTCAGAGAACTTACCCTGATTTTACATGTGCAGTGCTGCACCTGCCTAACATCAGATGCTCTACTGGATTCATTTATCCTGACTGTATTCAAATAAAATAAAGACTTTTATTATTTCATAATACTTAGCTTAAACAAGATCTTTATCTGACATGGCAACTAAATCATAAAGAAGATGAAATATTTGAAAATATCATTAACTAGATGAAATGAAGCATTAATAATATTAAAATCTTATTCCTTCACCTTAAGGGGATTAGTTGAACAGACATACTGTAAAGACAAACACAGTGGCATTGGAATTACTGTGAAATCTCCTACAGGCCACAGAACATACATAGGGCAGCTGAGTATTCATCCAACTCCATTGAAACAGAGCAATTGAATAAATTAGTTTTCTAATTTAACAGGGAATTTTATAGTTAACTGTATCTGTCTCTAAATGCAGTGAATGTGCACACACATGTGCAGAGGCTGTGCATGTATACATACACAGATTCACTGCTATTTCAGAGTGGTCCCAAATGCAGAACAAAGCGGAGTACATTCCCATAGCCATGGGGGGATGAACACCTGCAGCCACTCTGCTGCTTGCAGCACCTAAATTGCCTACTGCATCATTACTGGATGGGACGGATCAGATCTGATGCTAGTTTCCAGCAGCAGTTGGAATAGCAGATCCAGTCTGGAGGAAGGACTAGGAGCATTGCTCACAGTGCAATCCAGAATAAAAGACTATGTTTAGAGTTGACAAACCAGGCAACAGACCCATGCATATGCACAGTTTCTTTCCACATGAACTATAAGAGCTTCTGAAATGGGAAATGGGTCTTACTGCAGCCAGACAGTGTAGAAGGCAAATGTTCCATGTACACTGGTGATCAGAAAAATCACAGTAACATGCCAGGACAAATAAAGAATGAGAAAAAGCAATGATGTATACTTCACAGTATACCTCAATCACAATACTTCGTTCAGGCCAGAAACATTCTAAGTGAAGAACTAGAGCAGAAATAAAGACAGAAAAAA